GGTGTGAAAAAGTGAACGAGAATGAATGAACTATGAACGAGGTGAGTACAAATAGGAAACCCTAATTGGGTTGTACCCCCTATGGGATACCCCACTATAGCCTACACAAATAAGTAAGCTATAATGTTCTGACACACCCCCATAGGCAAAGTGGTGGAGAACAAGGGGTCACAAGACCAGTCAAGCAAAGCAAAGCAAAGCTCAGGGTGGATCACAAAGTCACCACACATTCCGAGCACAAGTTCAAAGGCCAGAAGGCCAGTTCACATGCAAGAGCACATATAGAGATATACAAGAGGCAAGCAAGCAAGAGCAAGAGTATATGTAGGTAAAAGTACAAGCAAGGTCAAGAAGTGAGCAAGTGAGGCAAGGCAGGCACAAGGCCCAGCCGCGTGCAGCAGGGCTGATGATCACAAGGCGCAAGTGCCTTGGTGAAGACATCAGCAGTGTTGGCCTCAGAGGCCACGTACGCAAGTCGCAACTGTCCACGCTGCTGTAGCTCACGAGCAAGAAAGTAGCGGAGAGCAATGTACTTTGTCCTGTGCTCCAGTCGCTGCTCTCGACACAAGGCCAGCATGGCCTTGTTGTCTACGTACAGGACTCGAGGAGAACGAGGCGGCTCTCCAAGGTCGGTCAGCAGGTAGGTGAGCCAGCGAAACTCCTGTGCAGCCATGGCCCCGGCGTAGATCTCAGCCTCACAGCTGGAGCCGAGAACAGAAGACGAGCGGGTAGCCCGCCACGAGACAGAGCCAGAATCAAGACTGAAGGTGTAACCCTGTGACGACCGCTGCGTAGCCTGGTCGTCAGCCCAAGAAGCGTCTGCGTGCCCAGTGAGGACCACTAGACTGCGCCCTCCAAGCACTAGCCCCATGCCCGACGTACTGCACAAGTAGCGCAACACCCTCTTTGCTGCAGCCATGTGCTCTGGTCGGTGTCTCCCAGGAGCAACATAGCGTGCAAGAATGCTCAAAGGGTATGCAAGGTCAGGTCGTGTGCAGGTCATCAGGTACATGAGGCAGCCAACAAGCTCTGCATACGGGCCACTCGACTCTACGGACTCATCCGAAGGCAGAGCTGAGAGCGAGTGGCGAGTAGGCAGAGGAGTGGCCTGAGGCGAGGAGTACGTGAAGCCGAAGCGCTGAAGGACCTGCTGCACCATGTGTGACTGAGTCAGGGTAATGGTGCGGCGTGCTCTGTCCCGGGTGATCTGCAAGCCAAGGTAGCTACGCAGTTCACCCAGGTTAGTGCACGTGTGTCTCTTCTGCAGCTCAGACTTCACGTGGGCGAGTCCACCAGTGTCAGCAGTGGCAAAGACCAAGTCGTCGACGTACACGAGGATTTAGAACGGCGGCAGAGAGGTGTCGGTGCGCAGAAACAGCGACGGGTCTGCAGTGGAGGGAGCAAACCCAAGTGCCGCCAGCGTAGTCCTCAGTGTGTCGTGCCACTCACGCGGCGCCTCGCGGAGACCGTAGACTGGACGCCGGAGACTCCACTGGGTACCAGGAGGGAAAGACCCAGTGAAGCCTGGTGGGCGACGCAGCCAGATCTCCTCGTGCAGGCTGCCCTGCAAGAAAGCAGTGCTGAAGTCGAGAGAGTGCAGCTCGTAGTCACGGTGAGCAGCTACGTGCAGCAGTACCCAAAGAGTGGTCATCTTCGGGGTGGGGGAGAAGGTCTGAAAGTAGTCAACTTCCTGCCGCTGACTGAAATCACGAGCCACGTACCGCGCCTTGAAGACAGGCGGAGAACCCGGCGGCCGCTTCACCCTAAAAATCCACATGCCACTGACGATGTTCGCCCCAGGAGGGGGAACAGCGTCAACTTAGGTGCCTGTGGACTTCCAGGGAGCCATCTCTGCATCCATAGCTACCTGCCACTAAGAGGAGTAGGGACCCTCTATCGCCTCCGCGTAAGAGCGCGGAGTCGGGATGTCTAGTGCATCTGGGTCTCCCTCAGGGGCTAGCAGTACAGACGCGAGATGAGGTGAAGCGGCGGCCAGACACTCGAACTCCTCCTGCCTGTCCTCAAGGACGTCCGTGCCAAGGGCACACTCACCCCCGACGGACGGAGGACAGGTAGACTCAGACTCAGCGACAAGACCAGCAGCGTAGTCTAGACTACAGCGCGCAGCAAAGTCGACGAGCTCAGTGACAAGGGCAGACGCAACAGAAGACTCGAAAGAAGGGTCAGTGACAGCAGTAGCAAGGAGACGCGTGACAGTAGGACTGGCAGCACGAAGAGAGTCCGACTCCGGGTCGGCAAGAGCAGGAAGAGAGGAAGAAGGAGGAGAAGGCAAAGGGGCACGCAGAGGAGCAGTGGACGGACGCAGAGACATCCGGTGCGTGCCAGGGACAGGAGGCGGACGCTGACGCGAACCGCGACCACTAGTGCGCGCAGTACGAACAGGCAACGCAGGACGAGACGCAGGCTCACGACGCTCTGTAAGACCTCCAGTCGGACCAGCGTAGGGAGAAGGAGCAGGCAAAGGGGAGGCAGGCTGTAGCTTTGACTGGACAGGCTGTGGACCCTCTAAGGGAGGAGGAGGAGGACCAGGAGAAGGTGTAAGACAAAGAACCTGCTGCAGGAGCGGAACGAAGTACGGTCGGGGCCGCGTGGTGACGCCAGAAACAGCAGGGACAGCACAAGTACCCCCAGCAGGAGTACCCGCTCCAGCAGCACCTCCACCAGCACCTCTAGCAGCACCTCCAGGAGTTCCAGAACCCCCAGTAGCACCTCCAGTAGCCCCGGAACCCCCAGCAGCACCAAGAGCACTGCCAGCCGGACCTCCAGCGGTAGTCTCAGCGCCAACACCCGCAGCAGCACCAGCTCTAGGAGAACCCTCAGGCCCAGCAGCTCTAGGACCCTCAGTACGAACACCTCCGGGACGCGCGGCAGCAGCACCCTCAGCAGCCGAAGAACCTCCAGCACTAGAAGCACGCCTCCAGCGCCGGGCAAACCACTCACGCAGCTCCTGTGGGAAGAGTGGCTCTCGGCGAGACGAAGCACCTCCAGGCGGAGAACCTCCAGACTCAGGACCCTCAGGCAAAGCACCTCCACGCGGAGCACCGCCAGTCTCAGCACCCCCAGGCTCAGCACCCCCGGGCTCAGCACCCCCAGGCTCAGCACCCCCAGGCTCAGCACCCCCAGGCTCAGCACCCCCAGGCTCAGCACCCCCAGACTCACCACCCCCAGACTCCGCAACCCCAGGCTCAGCACCCCTAGGCACAGCACCCCCAGGCCCAGCACCCACAGCAGCACCAGAGTCACCATTGACCTCGACAGGCTCGACCGCGTCTACCTGGGACACACCTGAAGGGGCAGGACTCTGAGGGGGGAGGGGGTCTACCGGGGGGGGACCTGGTACCAAGAAGAGCGGGGGTGGGGGGAGGGACGGAGTGCGGTAGGGGAAGAGGCGGTAGTAGGGTACCGACTCGTCGAACGTAACGTCCTGGGAGGACAGAACACGTCGAGAGGTGGGGTGGTAGAACTGCCACCCAGGGGCGTCGGGGGGGAACCCCAGGAAGACGCAGGGAGCAGCGCGAGGGGACAGCTTGTCCGCAGACAAGTCGCGGACAAACGCCCGAGATCCCCCGACCCGGAACACCGACGCATCGCCAACCTTCCCCGTCCCTAGCAGGGCTGGGGAGGTCTCCGGCCTGGAGACCCTGGGGTGGAGGTTGATCTGATGCGCCGCGTACCTGACTGCAAACGTCATAGAAAATGGGGGGCCACCGCATGCATCATAGACGTACGAGCGACGTCCATGACCATGCCAATGCGGCGCTCTGCAATCCCATTTTGCTGCGGTGAGTCCGGAAGCGTGAAGGTCTGGCGGATGCCTCGCGCACGACAGTAGGCACGCAGAAGGCCAGAGGAGAACTCTCCGCCTCTGTCCGAGTGCAGACGCAACACAGGAAAGTCCGAGCCAAAGCTCTGCCTGAGCTGGAGACGAGCTGCGCGGATCCACTCGATCAGCACCTCAGTGACATCACCCTTGCTACGCAAGGGGAAGACTGTGGTGTAACGCGAGTAGTCGTCAACCACCAGCAGGAAGTAGCGCTCGTGACCGAGTCCATGGACGCGGGCAGGGCCCCACACGTCCATGTGAAGCGTCTGCAACGGAGCCTCTGTCGGAGGAAACTGGGAGGAGTGAGGGGCAGCACGCTGGCGCCCCTCGACACAGGGGACACAGGCAGGGCCAGGGCCCTGAGGAAGGGGAGGGAGGGACCGGGGGAGACCAGACACAAGAAGACGGGAGGCCATGCCTCTGAGCCGAAGCAGAGAGGGGTGGCCAAGGCGGTGGTGCCAGAGGAGGGTCTCGTGAGACAGACGGCGACACGAATAGGGGGCAGACTCAGGACCAGACCAGGACGCTGCAGCAAACACCTGACCAGACGAAGGGACCCTACCAGACTCAGCACCTGGAGGAGAAGCAGTGGTCAGTGTGTACAGGCTCGACCCTGGCTGACGTGTAAACATAGCCAGGTGGCGACCTGTGCTAGCCTCTGTGCTGTGTGTCACCCGTTGACGAGCAGGAGTAAACGGGTGGACACCCGCATCCTGTAGGTCAGCACCACTCACCAGGTTCGTAGAGAACGAGGGGAGGTAGAGACCAAACAGGGTGCCAGAGGGAGCCGCCGGACACGGGAGGACCGTGGAGAAACGAGACAAGACAGGAACCCCAGAGGGGTCAGCCAGGGACACCGCAACCGGCCGACTAAGCGGCGTGAGAGTGGTGCAGTCCCGAAAGAAGGAGCGAGACGCCCCAGAGTCCAGGGTGAAGGTGTGAGAGGCCAAAGCCGACACAGTACCTGAGAGTGCAGACTCACCAGTACCTGAGAGTACAGACGCACTGGCACCTAGAGCAGCAGCCTCACTAGCACCTAGAGCAGCAGTACCAATGCCCGGGTCGGGCTGGAAACACCAGTAACAGTCACCCTCATCACTAACAGTCACAGCATACATGGCAGCAAGGATAGCATCAAAGTCAAGATCAAAAATAGCTACACCAGCCCTAGACAGCTCTCCCCAGCGGGGGATCTCAGAGGCCTCCGGAAAGTGCTGGCGCCAAGCGTCTGTCAGGCGGCTAAAGCAGCGGCGGGCGGTGTGGGCGCCCCCACACTGCTCACCCGCGCGGTCGCCGGTGCGAAGGACGTAGGTGCAGGGACCAAACGCCCCACCACGCTGACGCTGCGAGTACCACTCACGGAGCTGCTGAGGGGCGGGGACATCGCGAGAGCGCTGCTGCTGCTGCTGCTGCTGCTGGTGCTGCTGGCGCTGACCACCCCCAGTGCTGCTCCGCTGGGACGAGCCACTCCGACCACCTCCACCACCGCCACCCCCGCCTCCGCCGCCACCGCCGCCACCGCCACCCTCGCCCCCGCCGCTCCCACCGCCACCTCCGCCACCACCTCCGCCGCCACCTGCGCCTCCACTGCCGCCACTAGAACCTCCACTCCCGCCACCACCCCCACCGCCACCCCCACTCCCCCCGCCGCCCCCACCTCCTCCGCCACCGCCCCCGCTAGCTCCACCCGCTCCCTTGCCTCCCTTGCCCTTGCCAGAGCGGCGCCTACCGCTGGGGGCAGACGCCGCACCGACCGACTCTAAACCAACGAGGTCGGCCGCAGCAGCAGAGGCGACAGAGGGTAACAGGGGGGAAGGAGAACACCCCTCAAAGATGGGGGTGCGAGGGTCACCACGAGAGGCCCCTACAGCGACTATGCTCTTCTCGGCCGCTAGCAGGGACTTCTCGAGGAGGTCGACAGTGAGGGTGGTGGGACAGACAAAGAGAAACTGGTCCCTAACTACACAAAGAGACTCAGGGAGACGGGTGACGAGAAAGTAGAGGGTGATGTACATGGGAGGGGGGTTTGCGGCGCAGAAGTCAGCAGGAAGCGCAGCTCGGTAGCGAGTGTCACTAGCGCGGAGGTGGGTAAAGAGGTCAGCGACTGTGGGAAAGGCAGCAAGGTCAGGGAAGAGGTACGGTAGCATGAGGCAGCTTAGTGTAGCAGAGGAAGGGGAGGAGTAGCGCGCAACTACAGCGTCGTACAAGGCCTGAGCGGTCTTGCACTGACTAAAGTGTGCACGCTCGGAGGAAGGGAGGTGGCGACGCACAGCAAGACGTGCAGCAGCATCGCGTGAGGCCCACTTGGAGCGAACAGTGGGGTCAGCATCAGCAGGAGGGGCGGGGACAGCGCCAGAGACAAAGTCAAAGAGAGAAACTTCATCTACCGTATCGCATAGCAAGTACAGCTGCAGGTCGTCGACCCAGACCGCAAAGTCAATGGCGCGACCCTCAGCGTCAAAAGCCAGGACACTAGGGGTGGCCATGGTAGCAGCCGACAGTCTCAGCGGACACGAAGGGTCGAGCCGCTCAGCAGCACAGCAACACGGCAGCACAGCAACTCCGCCGGCCTAGGAGCAGCAGCAGCCCTACAGGAGCAGGAGCTCGGCACCTCAGGCGGCTCGGGCGGCTCGGGCGGCTCGGGCGGCTCGGGCGGCTCGGGCGGATCGGGCGGCTCGGGCGGCTCGGGCGGCTCGGGCGGCTCGGGCGGCTCGGGCGGCTCGGGCGGCTCGGGCGGCTCGGGCGGTCAGCGGCTCTGCTGCTCGGGCGGCTCGTGCGGCTCGGGTGACGCAGGGGGCTCACTGGCGGCGCGGGCGTCGTGGCGGGCGGCTCACAGGCGGCTCGCGGGCGGCTCACGGGCGGCTGCACGGGCGGCTGCACGGGCGGCTGGGGCGGCTCACGGGCGGCACGGTGGGCGGCTGCACGGGCGGCTGCACTGGCGGCTGCACGGGCGGTTGCACGGGCGGCTGCATGGGCGGCTGCATGGGCGGCTCACTGGCGGCTGCACGAGTGGCACGTCAGGCGGCTGAGGGCGGCTGCACGGGCGGCACGTCGGGCGGCAGCACGGGCGGCTGCACGAGCGGCTGCACGAGCGGCTCACGGGTGGCTGCACGGGCGGCACGTCGGGTGGCGCACGGGCAGCGCACGGGCGGCTGCACGGGCGGTTGCACGGGCGGCTAGCGGGCGCCGGGCGGCTAGCAGGCGTTGGGCGGCGCGCGGGCGTCGGGCGGCTAGCGGGTGCCGGGCGGCTAGCGGGCGTCGGGCGGCTAGCGAGCGTCGGGCGGCTGGCGCGTCGGGCGGCTAGCGCACGGGCGGGCGGGCAGCTGACGGGCGGCTCTGGGCGGCGCACGGGCAGCTCACGCGAGCTGCTCACGCGCTGCGTAGGGCAGCGCGCGGGCGCTAGGGCGCTAGGGCGGGCAGCGCGCGGGCGCTAGGGCGCTAGGGCGCTAGGGCGGGCAGCTGGGCGCGGGCGCTAAGGCGGCGCTCGGGCTGCTAGGGCGGGCGGCGCGCTAGCGGCTAGGGCAGAAAAAAATAAAATTTCAAGGTAGTGGTGGTGGGCCCTAAGCACAGTTCCCACAGGGGAACCTGCTCGATACCATGTGAAAAAGTGAACGAGAATGAATGAACTATGAACGAGGTGAGTACAAATAGGAAACCCTAATTGGGTTGTACCCCCTATGGGATACCCCACTATAGCCTACACAAATAAGTAAGCTATAATGTTCTGACAAGAGGAACTATCACGACGACATCGTGAGGAACAAGGTCGTGGGACCAAGTGACGCAAATGCGCCGATCTCGTTGTAAGGCAATGTAAAAAAAAAAAACCTTGCAAGGGTATTAAAGCTGATGACTGCGCAAGCGAAGTAAAAAAAAAAAAAAAAAAAAAAAAAAAACCCCAGGAGTGCGGGGAGGCACGACGGCGGTAGAAGACAAGCGACATAGTTTGCCCGACAAAGTGTCCCGTATTATCTCGCGTCTAATCGACCTTGGCCCTGGTCCCCCCCCACACAACCTCGGTTGCCCGTTAATTGCAGAAGTGGAAGGCGAGTGGCGGAGTGCTCATTGGGACCCTTACGAGCACGCAATAACGGACAACATGGTGTCCATCATGCGAATGCGATTTCGCAACAGCCTCCATTGGTGGCTATCATGGTGCGACAGCAGTCTTATCCTTTCCATCATTGCCAAAGGGTACTGGCTACCATGGAAGGGCATAGAGCCTCTCCCCTTCGAAGCGCCCAATCACGCAGGCGTTCAAGCACACATGGCATTCACCCAAGACACGGTTAGCGACCTCATCGCGTCAGGCGCCGCGATGCATGTCTCGTCGAAAGCCGCACTGACGTGCATCAGCCCGCTCAATGCTGTGGAGCAACGAGACAAATGCCGGCTCATCCTTGACCTGCGGAAGGTCAACGCTCACCTCCAAGTTCCCAAGTTCAAGTACAAAGGCTTGAGTCGGGTCGCGGAAATCATTTGCCCACACGACTGGATGTTCACAATCGATCTCAAGTCAGGCTACCACCACGTCGAAATCCACCCATCATGCTGGAAGTTTTTGGGCTTTCAATTGGGCGGAAAATTCTATTGCTTCACATCCTTACCTTTCGGCCTGGCAACAGCCCCGTTCATCTTCACCCAGCTTATTAAGCAACTAGCCAAGAGATGGCGCGCGCGCGGAGTGCGCGTAATACCATACGTGGACGATCTACTATTCCTCTGCAACTCCGAGGCGCAAGCCCGTTCGACGTGCGTCGAAGTTCTCCACGACTTGAAGGCGGCAGGATTCGTGATAAATTCTAAGAAATCACACCTGCATCCCGCACACCACTTGCGCTTTTTGGGGATGGAGCTTGACACGGAACGAGGGATGTTCCTGGTCGGAAAGGATCGGCGCGAACAACTACTGCAGGAGCTCCACCTACTTATACAAAAAGGGCAATCGGGTCGTCAAGTGCCGATTCGCAAGATAGCCCGGATCACTGGATTTCTCAGCTCCATGTCGCTCGCGCTGGGCACGACGGCGCGGGCCTTCAGCCATGAGCTGCTCCACTTGATCGACTCCGCATGGTCATGGAACTCAAAGGTTTTATTGTCACCAGGAGCGACCGAGGAGCTGCTGTTTTGGACAATGCACTTTGATCGTTTCAATGGCACCCCATTCCACCAGAGTCAGCGTTTTGATGCAATGATACACGTCGACGCGAGCGCGCACAGCTGGGGTGCCACCTTGGCCAAGTTCCCAAGTACATCATGCGAGGCAACCGAGTGCATGCCACAAGGGCTTCTCCCCACATCTAGTACGCGGCGAGAGCTCGAGGGAGTGCTCTGGGCACTGCGGACGTTCGCAACCCAAATCGTGGGCGCTCACGTCCTCGTCCGGGTGGACAACCAGGCAGTCATGTTTATCTTGCGCAAGGGGGGATCCCGTCAGGCGGATCTTACGTCGACATGCCAAGCAATCATCCAGTTCTGCCTCGGCAACACAACACGCCTCGCGATCGAATGGATTCCGAGGGAGCTCAACGCCCATGCAGATGACCTATCCAAGATGCAAGATTTTGACGACTACTCCCTACATGCACCTTGGTTTCGCCTCTTGGAACGACGCTGGGGGCCTCACACAATTGATCTCTTTGCTAACGTTCGGAACAATCACGTTCAGCGCTTCTGCTCCAAGATACCGCACCCTGACGCATTCGCCGTCGACGCTTTTTCCATCTCGTGGAAAGGCGAGCGATGCTTTGCCTTCCCGCCTCCACACTTAATTCCCGCTACACTCCGCCACGCGGAACTGACGCAGACAGAACTCACGCTCGTCGTTCCCCAGTGGACCGGAGCGTCATGGTGGCCGCTTCTTCAACCGTCCACTCAATCGTGGGCTCCAGCAGTAGTCGAGCACCTTTCCCTTGCCCAAGGCAGTCAATGCCTTCGGGCAGGTTCACACACAGCTGCATTCTCTGGTCTCGGATTGCCTCATAGCCCAATCATTGCTTTGCGTGTAAACTATGCAGTCTAATAACAATTTCTCAATGTGTCATTTCAGGACTTTTGGCCAAACTAAAGCAACAATTGCTGCACGTAATTAGCCACGTTCGTGCACCATCTACAATCGAGACGTACCAACCTTATTGGCAGAGATTTCGCACCTTCTGTACCCAAGTTAAGCTCGAGTTCCTCCCGGCAACCGACCTGACGCTAGCGCTGTATCTCATCCATGCGCTCAACAACAAAGCAACTCTCTCCGCGATCAACCTCACGTGTTCGGCAGTAGCCTTTGCCCACCGCATGACAGGCGAAACCTCCCCTACCGCCGGCCCACTCACCCTGCAAGTGCGGGAGTTCGCCAAGAGACATGGTCCCCGCCCTACAAGAACCAAAGAGCCCATATCTCTCCATCAAGTGCATGACATGGCTCGTCCCTTCCTCGAATCATCAATTCCTGCGGAATACCAGAAAGGATTGATTCCTCTTCTCATGTTTTCGGCATTCTTGCGCTACTCCGACCTCGTCTCGCTCCAATGGAATGACGTACAGTTCGAGGAGAAGGCAATGTGGCTGCTCATTCCGCACTCCAAGACGGACCAGGAGGGGAGGGGAGTCTGGATCCCCGTGGCGGCAATTCCAGGCCCATACTGCCCGGTGAGGTGCACGCGCGCATTCATACACATCGCAGGCCTCACAAAGGTGCCCCATGGACCGCTGATAAGGGTTTTCCCAAAGAACTCACAAGCCACACCGAACGACAAATCGCCATCCTACGTTACGATCAGAAACTGGTGCCTCGCAGCCGGCAGGCAAGCTGGACTGGATGTCGCGCACATCGGAACCCACTCATTCCGCAAAGGCGCAGCCACTGCAGCAGCGAGCCTCGGAGTTCCTGGCCGGCTCTTCAAACGCATGGGCCGATGGCGCAGCGACAGCGCGAAGGAGATGTACGTTACAATCGCGCAGGATCAGCTCATCTCCCTCTCTACGCAATTGCAGGATCCTTCGACGGCTCCCTCGCCCG